AATAGATGTAAATAATGAAGATGATGAAAATTTACTTTTTAACATTAATATTGATAATGAAATAGTTGCAGAAGCTCTTTCAATTGCTAAAAATAATAAAGCTCCTGGAGTAGATGGAATAACCAATGAACTCCTGAAAAATGGTGGTGATGCTATGCAAGTATCACTTGTTTCTTTATTTATCAAAATCATGCAATAGAAAAGATCCCAACTGAGTGGAATACTGGCATAATTGTGCCAATTTTTAAAAAGGGGGATCGTAGCGATTTAAATAATTATAGAGGAATCTCATTAACGTCATGTCTGTCAAAAATCTTTAACAGAATAATTTCTATGTACATTTCATGTTTTCTTGAAAAAGATAATTTTCTTTCGGAAGTCCAGGGAGGATTTAGATCTTATCACCGATGTGAAGACCACATCTTTACATTGAAAAGTATTTTATCTTGCCGTTCCTTTGAAAATAAAACTACGTATCTAGCCTTCCTGGACTTCCGAAAAGCATTTGACAGTGTGTGGCATGATGGTCTCCTTAAATCAGCCTGGGATGCAGGCATAAGAGGACAAATTTGGAGAATCATTAGTTCACTATATGACAACGTTAAATCTAAAGTAAAAATTGGGGAAAATATGACTAAGGAATTTCCAGTTCATAAAGGCGTTAAACAAGGATGCGTGCTTTCTCCCATTTTATTTTCAATATTTATTAATGAATTTGTTAAACTTCTTCGTGAAGAATGTAATGTAATTCAAAAGGGCAATCGTCTTATTGCTTATATTAAAGGTATTATAGCTAATCTAGATTTTATTTATGGAAATATTTTATGGAAGACTATTGCACTTCCATCAGTAAATTATTCATGTAGCATTTGGTTTAACAAATCCAAGAAGGATATTGAAGATCTGGAGGAAGTACAAATTCAAATGGCCCGTTTTCTTTTAAAAGCCCCTCGGTATACACCCAAAGAGGCTCTTTATGGAGACTTAGGATGGGTCCCCTTATCTCAAACACATGAAGTGACCAGAGTTAAATTGTTTAATCGCTTTGTTAACATGGAAAATTACAGGTGGCCTAATAAAGTGCTTAAATGTATGCTTCAACTTGAATGCGACTTTAATATTTTAAAATATAGATTTCTTATTAGTGTAGATACTTTTGCAAAATGTCCTGATATTGATTTTTATAACCATGTTTTTGATTTTGATAATTTAATGTGTAATTCTTTCTCTGTCAGTATTGTAGAACGTGATGTATCAGAATGGTATAAATCTATTTCTATTTTTTTTCTTCTATTTTTGATCCTAATTAATTAATTTTAATGTTGTCCACTTTATTTATCATTTGATGTATTTATTAATTAATTGAATAAATGTTAATTGAATTGTATTGAAAAAATTGAAAAATACCGTAGTTTATTGTTTGAAGATGCAATGTTAATGACCAAATAATATTTGATATATTAGACTTTCTATTGAATATGGATGTAGCATGAATAGGGTAACTTCGAATGAGGGATGCATGTTATGTTATGGTATGGATTGGAATCCTATATGAAAGAACACGGAAGAAACGAAGGAAAAGAAATTTGGCATGGTTAAGGGTCAAAATTGACAAGATTGGCTTATACAAAGAAACACATGCTGTAGGCTTAATACCGATATTTACTCTAAAGATTCAGGGGAGAAAATTCTAGTTTATTGCTCAAAATGTGTCAAAATATAAAGTTGAATAAATGTTCTTATTTTGAGACTGGTGTAGTTGTTGTGATACAACAACTACACCAGTTGTTGTGATACAATGAAAAAAAAATTAGTGTCCCTTTAATAGGGGTTATTTGACAATTGGCACACTCAGAAAATGTCCCCGTCCCCTTAGTAGGTGTTGGCTGTAGTGTTAAATGATATATCGCCCCTTGTTTCACGGAAAAGTGTCCCCTTAATAGGGTGTCCCAAAGGAGAAGTTGTAGTGTATTATATATTTTTTATTGTCATTTTTATATGCGAACAATTCCAAACTCGTTTTTATCCTATCTTATAGGCATACCGTATCTTATTTTTGTCATAAAAAAAAACGTAAAACCGAACATGATTACAATCTGCTAAAATATTATTCAAATTTGATCATCAAAAGAATAATCTAATTCATGTGTTGAAATTTCTTTCATAGTCATGTTATTGTTAATTACATTGAGCACAATGATTATGTGTTTCAATTATAATAAAGTGCAATCATTATGACAATAGTGGATTCATTTTGTATTGCTAATTTTATAAATCACTGAATTTTTAAGCTGGTTCACCAAAAGAGGAACGAATTAAAACTGAAGTAAGCCTACCAAGAGAGGAAATCAATGTTGTAGAGACTGAGTCCAAAATGCCAATGCAAATACAAAAGCAGGTTGATGACGGATTTAAAGACGGAATTTATTACAAGAAACAAGGTTTGGGAGAATGGCACATAGGAGAGGAGACATTCAACATATGGGATTATGGAGGTCAGGTGATCTACCATGGAATACATAAAGTAAGTAATGCGACATATTAGTATACCAAATGTAATTGCTAATATTTTTTAACAGATTGTGTCACTCACCTGAAAAACTTACCCAATCTGCCAAACTATGTTTCTACTTTTACATTTAGTAACCATTACGACAATACAACACCGAGAAATCCATGATGTTCTAGTATATGTTCCTAGTATGATTCCTGATGATGACATAATTAATGTCGAAATATTGAATCCCAACACGATGGCGTGTATTTCAATACTTGGAGTATGTATTATACTTTCTAGTATATCGTATAAAGGATCTTAATCAGTAGGCTGTACACTATTGAATTAAATATGCGATAAAAATAAATTACTTTAACAGATCTTCATGACATTCATGGCGGTTTATATTGTGGTATTCAATCTTGACGCCGGCCTTGATGAACATGCTATGGTTCAAGATTCATCAGGGGTAAGTATAACATATAACAATACATGGTGTAAGTGATTTCATAAATACTAGGCTTGCACAAGAAACGATGTACTCCAGTACTGCAATAGCTAAATCAAGTGTCATGTTTCTATTTGCTCTAACTATACATTTCATGACATTTAGTTTAACACAGACTACAATGCATAGCTACTGAAATAGTACCTCCAAGAGGGTTTGTTACTTATCATCATGTGACCTGGATCCTAAACTTGTGACAATCTTGAACAAAGTACCTAGTTATGTTAATGCTGATCATAAGCAACTAACTAAAACATGCATCCTTTCAAGAGCAAGCTTACAAATAGTAGTTGATAGATTGGAAAAAGAGATTTCAACCAACGCATTAAATAAATTTAGAGGTGGGATCGCTCGTATTATTGATAAACTGTGAAACTACTTTTCTCAAATCCAAACGACAATCATACCAATGCCCCTCGGACTCGGTGATTATCACATCAACAGATAAAACTATGCGTCTAGTGGCTCTTTATAATAGCCAATACAAACGCATCCTCTTGAATAGCACCGTTGCTTCTGGTTTAAACTATCAACTAAGAGAATCCAAGCTCAATCAACCAAGAATGGAACAGATTAAGTTCAATGGTAGTTTAAATAAAATCGCACACAATAAAGATCATCCTGAGCTAGACGAAAGCCCTTAAAGACAGCATCTGTAGTAAACCATTGTGCTGTCCAGTATATTGTACCTAAGGATCACAAAGCAGGAGAGTTAAAAGGCCGTCCTATTCATGCAGCTACCGACACCCCAGCCATCAGACTACCGAAATTTCTAGTTGGATCATTGAATAACCTACTTGTCTTTGTACCCGCACACCTCAAGAATACACCTCAAGAGGATGTTATAGCATCTTATCTACATTGGATAATACAAAAGGTTTCTGTAGTATAGATATGTATGTAATTTATATGGCTCCATTCCCCTTGAAGATCTGGAAAACGGAACATTTGGCATATTTACAGCAGCCACGGACTTCTTCTCAAAAAACAAATGATTTACGGAATTGGAACATCTAAGTGACTCTGATTTCATGTCCCTATTACGCCTATGCCTTGCTAGTGACATAGTTCTAATGGCAGATGGCAGTAGTTACACACAGAAATCTGGTTTGGCTATGGGTAATAATTTAGCGCCTACATTAGCTATCATATATATGAACAACTTTGATCTCGCTATACAGTCTGCGTTCAATAAGTCTTATACTTGAAAAGATATATCGATGATATATTTATTACATGGACATCAGAGGATATATCCCCGAAATCGTGCTTTGTACAGCTAACAGTTTGAATTCTGCCCTTAAATTCACAGTTGAATTACCGACTAACAACAGTCTACCATTTCTCGACGCCATGGTGACTTTAAAACCGGAAAATGGCAGATTTATGACTACACTCTATATACGAAGCCCAATCACAGTCACGGTAGCTTATGTGAACGTACCTATTGCGTATAACATCTTGGGATAGTCATGGCCCTATATCACAAAATAGAGGAATCCTCATTGGAGAGATCAATCGCGCGATAACAAGATCAACTGACCATAAATCGCGTTTAAATTCTCTTAAACGTGTCACAGAGATGTTTATGAGGAACGGATATCCTAAAGCGTTTGTCAATTCCACCATTAAACGCACTATGCATAATTATAGATCCGGTCGTTTACGTCCAATTAAGTGCAATACTAACAGATAAAGAAGATCTTTTATTCATAACTCAATTCATATGTACAGTGATGACTTTAATAGATAAACTTCAGTAACTCTTGTAAATAATTGTGTCATTTTGTATATTCTGATTTATTTATGTCCTTGATTAATTTATTATTATATGTCTAACTTTTGTACTAATTTTTTTTTTTTTTTTTTTTGCATCGGGAAGACAAATTTTACTTTGTATTTTATGTACCAGTGACAATAAAAGAATCTTGTATCTTGTATCTTGTATTTCCATTTCAATTCCTCTTTATTTTATTTCACACAACGCAAAAATGCAATATAAAGTTCTTCAGAAAGGTAAATAAATTACAAGGGCAATGTAATCAAATTAAGTAATATTAACAAATTATTAAATTACAGTAAATAATAATTAGTGAAGATATAGTAATTGATATTAACAATAAAAAAGATAGTAAAGATAATAAAAATAATAATAGTAAGTATAGTATAAGCTCAGCTCACAGTCGGTCAATCAAGATCAAGATACAATCTATCTGAAACTACCATTTATTATGAAGAACTTAAACAACAAGCACAAGCAATAATTAAGCGGACAGGGTTACATAATATTAGAGTACATTATGAATGGGCGTTCATTAGCGACAATATTCACGGCGCCCAAAGAAAAACAGGGGTGCCCTAAGAAATGTGATACATGTGCCTGTGCTGTGAAGACCAATCGATGCTTAACCAAGAACACCGTATACAAGATAGCATGTACCCATTACGATATAATATACATTGGTGAAACTGGCAGAACCATTGGGTCCATGTACGCATGCAAACAGTATATACGCATTTAATAACTCACAACAAAAGACCTATACTTAGAGATATTTCTTGGGAGATCTTTGCACCCTAACATAAATTTGCCCTATGTCCGAAGAATAATAGAAGCGCTGGAGATTAAGAAATATAAAGTTAATATTATGAACGGATGTGTAAGAAGAATATTAACAATTGACTGAAGTTTACAGCTAATGGACTACTACATATGTATATGTATATGTGGATGTGGATATTTACACATATCCACACCCACATATTACACATAAACATATATAGGAATATACCAGATCATATACATTAATGGATCACTCACAAGTATATTGAGATTTATATAGATGTGTACATAGGACAGATAGTAGTATTCAATACATAGTAATTCGACCGTAACAGGCATTTGTCTTATTATACGTTGCTTTGTAATATACGATGTTAGTCCACTGATGAAGCCCTAACCGGCGAAACGTTTGTATATATGTATATATGCTGTCTCTTATACACATCTAGATGTGTATAAGAGACAGATTATGTCGTAATGAATTTTCAAAATCATCATTTACAATTTCAATAATGTATCTTTCTGCAGCATATGATTTCTTAGGAAATTTTAAAAATAATTTTCTTGTGGTTTTTTTTTCTTGTTTTGTAGAAGAAGTACCCTCATCACTTGACCAATCTTGAGTTCATAATATATTGGATCCAGTCAGTTTACACACATAGCCGTCAATTAATAGATGACATAGAACGAGAGATTGATTTACCTGCTATCGTTCTCGTGGGCACCCACCGCGATTCCCTTGGTGACAATGAAGAAGAAAGAAAACGCAAGGTTATTACAGTTACACTTTTAGATAATAGTAAGGATAAGAATAATAGTAAAGGGTAAAGTGGTAAACTTTAGGAGTAAGATAATTAATTGTTAGCCGAACCCACTAAATTTGGAAGGAACATGTCATGTCAGTAGTCTGCCAAAGTGCTTAGCTGTGACAACACCCATACATTAACATATACATCCGTTATGTAAGTTTTATCTTGGAATCGCAGTTTTTGGCTCCAGAAATCAATATTGAGACCACTTTAAGTGTAGTTATAGTAGCTCGTGTTTCAGCGGTAATGTGTACACTTCGTGAGGTTAAACATTATCATTACATTCCTATATGTGAATGGTTATGTACTATTTTTTATTCCTATAATAAACTCAGTGGTTTTAAACAATTCAAACCACCAACTTTTTTCACTTCCATCAATATTTTGATATCAAAAGTAGTTGTGAATAGTGATTGGGTTATATGTATTAATCTTTTAAAAAATAGGTAGAGGAGGTGTTTACCAAAATAAGTAACGCACTGGAAGGAGCACCATACGAATCACACGTTTACCATGAATATTTTGATATCGAACACAACTGTCCAGAAATACATAAAAATGTTTTCAAGCTAAAGAATGTACTTGAGGATCTTATGAAAACATTGGTCAAGCCTGTTCCGTTGAAATGGATGCATTTCCGATGTGAATTACAGCAGTTACGAAACGAAAAACTAGTTTGTTCATTGCAAAAGGTAAAAGCCGTTCAATATCGTATGTACTTTGTTGATTTTTGTTTTACTTACAGAAATATATAACATTATTCTCAATAACCGAAAGGTCCACTGATTAATCTCAGATAAGAAAGTATAATACATACTCCAAGTATTGAAGTACACGCCATCGTGTTGGGATTCAATATTTCGACATTAATTATGTCATCATCAGGTTATTCGACATTAATTATGTCATCATCAGGTTATTCGACATTAGTTATGTCATCATCAGGAACCTGATGATGACATAATTAATGTCAAAATATTGAATCCCAACACGATGGCGTGCACTTCAATACTTGGAGTATGTATTATACTTTCTTATTATTCTCAATATTTCTTTTATTAATTGAACCACAAAAAAAACAGCATACAAAAATTCGCCACTTAAAAGGGTAATACATAAATACCGGTGACAATTAAACTGATAAATCTAAGATATTTCGACGAAAAGTAGTGGAAATAATAGAATGACAAATTATGAATATCAGGATGGGTTTGAACATAAATATTGAAATAAATCCCAGGGTCCTGTGTTTAATTCCCGTGACATGATTTTTTTTCTCACCCTAAAACAACTCCACTCCTTAAGTGTCATAATGAGATAATAATAAGGTCATGTCTACGGGACTGAAGTTTTTTCAGTCTGGCTGTGGCTGATCAGGGAACAGTGAAATTACTGGGCTGATAAAGAACGGCTAAGGGATGCCTGAAAATAAAAATAAATTAGGTTAGGTATGGTGTTGAAAGTGTGCAACATATAAATGTGTTGAGAATGCGGATCGATGTATTTGCAATTTTGCCACATCAGGCAGTGCGAAAACATTTGCACTTCATACCAAGGCTGTATTTAAAGTTGTCATGACATTGCACTTTTGATAGTACATGTATCCTTTAAGCTTTTCGCATCCTCTAGACTATTATTTTTCTTCTAAAAAATTATGGTCATCGGCAAACATATGAAACTCGGATATCAAATGAATTAGTAATTGCATTGGAAAAGGAACGCCAGATTCGACTGAAAGCACTCATGGTGTCTCTCGGAACTCGCTACTACTACTATCTGAAAAGCCTTTAAACCTAAATAGAAAGTTCAATTAGAAATAAATTTCTTTAGTAAAAAGAATAAGATTGTTATGAATAGATCAAGGGCTTCGGAGTTCTGTATAAATTATATCACATTGTCTATTTCATCAATACACGGAATACACGGAATTCAGAAGACAAATAAGGCTTCTCTCTAAAGACCTACCGGGTAGAATGACAGGAAAAACATGTGATCAGATGTGACAATTGTTGGAATGGTAGGCCTATAGCAATAGTAAACAACAGTGACATGGGTTTATAGCTTTTTTACGGCTTCTTTGTATCGTATTTGTATATTATAACAGTTATAGTAAATTCCAGAGAGAGAGAGAGAGAGAGAGAGAGAGAGCTGTCTCTTATACACATCTAGATGTGTATAAGAGACAGCCAGAAACAGACAGAGAGAGGTAAATATTTCTACAGCCATATGGTATTGAAAGTTCTTTGACACTAAAGCCCATTTTAATACATCACTTAACTCATCACAGTAAGCTTTATGAACATACGTGAAAAAAGCTTCTGAACAATTTAGACTTCCGGGGCACAGTACAAAAATGTTTGTTTCGACAGCTGGTCACGATTTATTGACTATATGTCATGTACACAAAGGCAGTCAAATGCATCTATATTATTTTTAAATGTGTATATAAATTTATTATAATATGAATATATACTATTTCATTATTTAATTAATTTGTATTTTTATGTATTCGTATCTAGGGTGAAAATTGGTTTGTGGTTAAACATGTTCACTTTATAAATAATTTTCTCAACAAGAAAGAGCACTCTCCAAAGGTCATAAAATTCTTAATTCTGTAAAACCTAGTTCCACCAATTAATCGACGAGTGTTGCATGTAATATGACAGGTTAAAGAACTGGCTACTACGTGTGGAATAGATGACGAAGACGACGAAGACAAAGACAAACAACTGAATGTTCTATTGAACTTCTTATATGATCTTGGTGAGATAATTTACATGCCAGACAACGATGCTTTAAAAGATAAAGTGATTCTAGATCCGATGGAATTTGTCGGCGTCGTCAAAACAGTTATCACCGTCATTCCACCAAAATTACGGGTAAGAATCAAGGCTAATTTACTATCTATGCCATATCTATCTCTGTCTGTCGGGCTGTC